ATGTATCATGCACTATTGAATTGCACTTTTTTTTGTTGCTTTATTGGTTTTTACGTCCGAAATGTATTTTCATTGCCACAAACTATGCGTTCAATTTTGTGATAGAAAAAACAACGTTTACATCATAAATCTGAGTTGATTGAACATACACAGATAATAACCTTTTTACTCTGCACTGCTTTTAAAGGGCCATATTCTGTCATCTTCAGGTTCAAATGTTATTGTGTTCCTCTACTGTGACATATCTCCATGCTTTAATGTTCAAAAAGCTCTTTAATGCACCTCTTTTCACCCTCTGTCTGAAACCAGAGCCCAGTCTGCTCTGATTGGTTAGCTGGCCGGCTCTGATGTGATTGGTCAACCACTTAGAAATGTCCCACCTATTAGCCTTTCACGTGTGTTGGAGCGCTAGCCAATAGAAGCGTGAGTGTTATGTAGTGATGTCACCATGTTACAGAAGTAAAATCTAAGGAACTTTGGGATGTTAGCCTTTGCAGACCATTTACATGCACACAAACCTTTATAACACACTACAGGACATGGAAAAGCCCAAATAGCATGATAGAGCCTCTTTAAAAGTTTCAGATAGGTGATTTTGAAAAGCTAGGGATTCTTTATTTTTCTCCAGGATTTTCTGCCTCGTCCAGGTTCATTCCAGACTTCCTGTTTGAGAGTTCACATCAGCGTCTACTTTTTCAGGATCCGGTCTGAGAGCCAGTCCAGACCCTCCACCAAACCAGACCCACTGACAGCACAGGACGCCTGCACAGACCACTACACACACACACACACACACACACACACGGAAATAAGCTGCAGGACAATATAAATCAGATTTTCATGAACAAAATCACTTAAACGACATCGCTGTGCTCTGCGCTGCCGGCAAAACACAACAGAAAATGTTATGACACTTGTAACTCACCGGTGATATTTTTGTATTTTCTTTTAATAAATCGATATTAAACTGCATTACCCAAATATATTCATTTAGACTATTAAGGAAAAATCAAAACCACACTTATTAATCCCAATGGCCATTACAGTATAACATATTTATATCTCAGGCTTTACATCTGGAGTCTTTACTTTGAACATGTTTACTTTTTATTCCTTTCCACCAGAGTGAAACCTTTTCTAATGTTTGCCATATGGTGCATATTCATTTTCCTTGTTTAGTGCACAACATCTTTTGCATTAAAATAAATGTTGATGCCAATCATTGACCCGGATTGTGAAAGAAAATCCTCCCGGTGTTATGTATTGAGTGCACTTTTTGTTTTACTACAGACATACAGTCATATAATTCACTTACATTTGAAATTAATTTCAGGTTGAAACCCTTTTTTAACTTTACGCTTAATTCACCAAATGTGGAACTGGAAGAGAAAAATGAAACAATTGTTTATATAGCTATAAGTTCAATCATTAATTTCCATGATTTACTTTTTGCATCTTTAAATGGGACGTACTGCATCAGATCTGATGTTTCAACAGGTAAAGTAACACTCACCGGCTGAGAGACTCCTGATAGGTGGAGGAGAGCCTCGGTGATGTCACTGCCAGACATGGCTCGGGGTAAATCCTGTTTGTTAGAGAACACCAGTACAGCTACGCCCCTCAACTCATCCTCCTCCAACTGCAACACATAACATAAAACAACCAATCGGAAACATCTTCCTCTTATGTTTAATAACAGTCAGAATCAGAAATACTTTATAGATCCGCTGGGGGAAATTGAATTTGGTTACAGNATAAACGACCCTCCGGAGCGTTTGCGATCAACGGGAGCATGTTGTTTCTTACACGACCACTAGAGGTGCTACACTTTAAAACGTGACTCTGGGTCGTATTAAGCTGCTGAACAATCGACCTATATATGATCGTTTTTTGTCGGATGGCAGGCTGTTTTAAATCATTGACAGTGTGGTATAATGAGACAATAATAGGCTACAGATGCGGAAATATACACACACACACATACATATTTATATATATTTATATAAATATATGTATACGATTTCAGAATCAAACAAGTATCAGAGCGCTCTCATAATAACATAACACTATCAGAGACTGGATATATCCCCCCCCCCCNCATAGCCGTGGGAACATGTTTCAAATGGGGGGTGCTATGGGGATGACATCTCATTGCCAGCTAAAATCTTGCCTATAGCACATTGGTCAGAACCAGCCCTGATGTCATCCCCATAGCACCCCCCATTTGAAACATGTTCCCACGGCTATGCATGTATTGTGTTATGACATTCGGAGATGTTTAAACACAATGAGAAAATGCATTAGCATTCACGCTAGTGTTAGCATACATGCTAGCGTTAGCCATACAAGCCTGTATACCAGCCTTTCCTCCTACAAAAAACGACCATATAGGTTGATTGTTCAGCAACATATTACGACCCAGAGTCACGTTTTAAAGTGTAGCACCTCTAGTGGTCGTGTAAGAAACAACATGCTCCCGTTGATCGCAAACGCTCCGGAGGGTCGTTTATTCACAAATAACCCTCTCTGGAAAATCCTAAATTGTGGAATAGTTTGGCCATTAAAATGCTTTTTTATTAGATTTCTAGCGAGAAGTGTATATTGTACTTTTATAATCTACGTCCAGTGGATGTGTAGGATCTATAGTTTGATAGATATTATGAAGATGATTTGAGGTCTCGCGAGGAGAACGTGTATATATGCGGCAGCTTCCATGTAAAGTTAGCGTCAACCCTCACGGGGTGAAAACGGTATTTCCGGTCTCAAAGTTTTCATAATAAAACCAGAAGTATTCCCCTCACTCTCAAATGATTACACAGTGATATCTGCATTACTCATCCACTAAAAAACATCAGTTTATCCTTGTTAATTACACAATATTGATTGGTTTAAATTGTGTACAATGCTTTTGTGTTTTTAACCTTCGATTCGGAGAAACAAATAGTTTTTTCGGAGTTTAGACAATACAGAGTTTCTGAAGACACTACACTACCCAGAATCCCCAGCTATCATTTGGGATTACAACATCCACCTTGCTTTACAAACCCTGTGACTAGTCCTCAAGCTCTGTGATTGGAAGTTGGAGTGGCAGTGCGACAAGGTTACGCCGAGCGTCAAACAGCTCTTTGAAATGGAATGGAACCACGGCAGACTATCCAAAACTAGACTCGGACGGGTCCAGCCCACTAGGTGGTGCGGGTTAAAAAACCAGTGGTCTAGTTAACAAAACATAATAATATCAAACATAATATTACTATTAGCTTTATTGTGAAATGAAAACAGAACGGTAGAGAAAAATACAGTTTCAGTCTCTCAATTAGAAGCTTATGCATTGTACCATGAACCTGTATAGACCTGTAACAGTTAACTGCATGAGGAGTTGGAAAGGTAGTTCAGTTAATCAGTTATATCTTTAAAAACTACAAGTCCCTTTTTATCAGCTGGTCACCGTAATGGTGTAAATACAGCCTATCTAGTAATTGGATCAAATATAAAAGTCAGCCGAATTAGTGTTGAAGGAGACGTATTGTGTGAAAAGAAATGGAAGATGTTGTTTAATTGTTGATATATTTATGATCCACGTCACATATTTAGTTTCGGCGGCATTTCTTCCAGTTTGTCCAGAAGTCTTCTAATCAGGGCTCTATAAATAAAGAACTACGGCAGATGTGTAATATTTAATGCAGCCGAACCGTGTATTACAATGCCGTTTTTATTATTTAAAAAAAAATAATGTTTTCCGATTTCATATCGCATAAACACCATATCCCAACGTGCATTGCGGCTAAAACATCCAGGATTATGGGTGTAGTTCGATGTTTTAGCCTATCAGAACCTCTGAAAAAAAAAAATGTGTCTCTCAGAATCGAAAGAAAAAACCCTACGGGAAAAACACAAAAGCATTGTACACAATTTAAAACAATTAGTGTTGCGTAATTAACAAAGATAAACTGATGTATTTTACTGGATGAGTACTGCAGATATCACTGTTAAATCATTTGATCATTGGTTTTATGATGAAAACTTCGACACCGGAAATACTGTTTTCCCCCCCGTAACTTCACATGGAAGCTGTCGCATATACACGTTCTTCTGACGAAACCTCAAATCATCTTCGTAATATCTATCAAACTATAGATCCTACATATCGACTGGACGTGGATTCTAAAAGTAGAATATACACTTCTCGCTAGAAATCTAATCAAAAAGCTTTTTAATGGCCAAACTATTCTACAATTTAGGATTTTACCGAGAGGGGTATTTGTGAATAAACGACCCTCTGTAACGTTTGCAATCAACGGGAGCACTAGAGGGCGAAAACTAAACGATTATAGGTCGTATTAAGCGCTTGAACAAACAACCTATTTGGTCGTGTGAGTTGGAGGACTTGTTGAATTAAAAGTAAATATATAAGTCATCATGAACACAGTTCAGCCCATCAGACAGAGGTCATTTCTCAATGTTGAGTATACCTGCTGCAGAGCCACTATTTCAAGTATACTACGTCATCGAGTGGCGCCAAATTTAACATGCATTTAAACAGTCCTTCGGCGCCACTCGATGACGTAGTATACTTGAAATAGTGGCTCTGCAGCAGGTTTGCTCGACCTTGAGAAACGGCCACTGTGCTGCTGTGCCTCCTGTCATCATTAAGGGACGTCTCTTTAAAATGACCGCTCAGAGGAGAGGATTTCTCTTTTCTCCAAACGCCTGCTACTTCCACTCCTATCTCCTCGCTTCCCCTCCTCGACTCCTCCGCTCGCATCTCCTGTGTTAGGGACTAACACGCGAGGATGGGAGTCGAGGAGAGTAGTCGAGGAGGGGGAAATTAGAAATTAGAAACGTCTTAGGTTACGGTCCCTTTGATGCACTTTAAAATATCTTCAAGAAAAGTATTTCAATCCGAGCTAAATTTGTAAACGAATTACTCAATTGCAACAATACACACAACTTGATTCGTTCTTAAAACATAGCTGAATTCTCCCTATTTGTATCATCAGAAGGAAACAGCAGTCACACAGGTGGCACTGCCAAACCTGCACCTGCTGGTGGGCCCTTGGACACGGGGACAGACTCCCCAAACCTCATCTGGAGGGTGCTGCTGGACGGCCGGATAGGCCCCGATGAGCTACTCATCAACATCTCAACCAATCAGCTGCTGACGGAGGGAGACAGTTTGTTCTCGTCAGAGATGGGACCTGCGGAGGAGGACCTGATAAGCCTGGAGCATGATGGCCCGTTTGGTGTCAACGAGACACTGGAGTTTACTCTGGGTCGCAAACGCAATGAGAGCGTAGACAGTTCCTTCCAGAACAAAACAGTGCAGAGTAATGGGAAGACCTCCAGCCGCTCCAACAGAACGAGGTAATCCAACAGAACACAGGTAAAGGAGCATCAAATAGATATTGTGGGGAAGCTGTGAGGTTAGTAGTTTGTCCCTGCAGTCAAAATGTCAATATGTCCTTGGGCAAGATACTTAACCTCAAATTGCTACCTGTAGCATGGCTAACTTTGTGTTTGAAAATATGTGAATGTAAGTCCCCTTGGCAGCCTTTGTATGGGTGAAGGCTGACTTGTAAATGTTAAAGTGCTTTGAGGGGTCGCAAAGACTGTGAACAGCTATTTACAGAATACTTAACATTTTAATTGAGTTTTAAGATGATCCACAGAAGAGTTCCATTTTTAGGCCGATGTCTGGACCTATGGTGTTCAGGTCTCTGTCACACCGGGCCTGATTGTTCAGACACTGCCAAGCAACACAAGAAATTGTGCAGCAAAACCATGCAGTGAAACAGGCAAAGGGGATACGGAAAAAGGGGGAAAGTACACAGTTCAGCCCAAGTGGAAAACAATTAGTGCAGACAGGAATTAAAAAATAAGTAAGACAGGTGGACAGGTGGACAGACAGACAGCGCAGAAAGGTAGTTTTATAGACAGGTGGACTGACTACAATCAATCAATAAAAATACTTTATTAATCCCAGGGGGAACTTTTGTTTCCTGACAGTTGCACCATATTAGAATACAATTTTTTTATAATTTTATAAACCAACCCACTTTCTTCAGTCTGCGTACAAATGACACAACTTTACACATTGGAAATGCGTGCAATAGGTACGCAGAAGTCAGACTTTGCGTGCATATGATACGCCAACCATTCCCATTGAGTTCTGAGTCCGAGTTTTGCGTCAATATGATACGCCACGTTTCGTGCCTGCACCCGGTCGGGTCTTGGAAGTCCGGAAGCTGTGTGGTTTATAAAAATCAAGCCACGATTATTGTTTTTATTTTAAAGGTAACCTATCATGCAAAATGCACTTTTGTACGTCTTTTATACATGAATATGTGTCCCCGGGTGTTCCAGCTATTTGGTTCATAAGAACATTTTCTTACTCAATATCAAGCCACGATTATTGTTTTTATTTTAAATCGTATAATGTCGTATATAGCGTCCTACACTAATAATAAAAAGTATAATTTATTGTGTTAACACTTTAAACTTGATCGTTTTTTAACCCGCACTGCCTAGTGGTTAAAGCACGTTATTGCATTTTTTTGTTGAATATGTTATATTTGATGAAAAAAAGATGAAGAGTACATACAAAATAGGGGGAATGATAGAAATATAGAATATCAAATATCAAGAAGATGCTTTAAGTGATCTCTACAATAAAACAGTTTAGTGCAGGATGTAAAAAGATATTAATAGGAGGATGTGCAAAACAGAAAAACGAATTGACCTTTATTTAAACATTAAAGAATACTTTAGGTTAAGGTCTTCTTTTAAATAAGAAAAAAAGCTTTGGGGGTATCTACAGATAAATATTACAAAGTAATTAAAGTCTAATATACTGTATTGCTTTTCTGCAATGTTAACTATGTTGAAGCACTTATTTTAACTGATATTATACATATTAATTATACTCTTATAAGATGTATGTAGATATTATAAGAAATGTGCAGAATATGACAGTTTAATGGTGGAGGTATACACGCATATTGATAGATGTCTTGTAATGCACTGTTGAAGAACCTGCGACCCAAGTTTTTCATTCATTGCATAACTACACCGTTTGTGAATATGATATGTCAATAAACCTTAGAAAATCTTGAAATCTTGAAAGGGTTGTGCAAAATAGTCATTATATACAGTCTTTAATTAACTATTAGTAGAGAATAACGAGTAATGAATATGCTTTATGGCAGGGGTGTCAAACTCAAATACACAGTGGGCCAAAATTAAAAAATCGGTTCTAGTCGAGGGCCGGACTGGTTCAATGTTTATTGCAAAACGTATTGAAATGAACTTATTGCAAATATTAAACCTGGAACGAACAAAGCTTCAATTATTGCCTATAAAAAAAACATTAAACATTAAATAATCAGTTGCATTCATTTCTTATGGCTCTTATGGTTTCTTGTGATTACATTTTTCCAAAGGCCAACAGCTTCAACAAAACAATTTCCCTCAAAGAAAAAAACAAACATGCCCTGTTGTCGCAAGAAAAAAAGTGCAAAAGGAAACATCCATTGAAACTCAGTTTGCTGCTCTGTGATGCTAGTTCAAGCCAGATACTTGGCATCTCATCTTGGGTGCAAGTTCATCAATGTTTGGGGTCAGGCTCTGAGCTGAGGAAATCCTCAGGATTGAGTGAATGTGTGCGTGTAATATACCGGCGGGCCAGATCTANGAGTTTGGTCGTGATTGTTACCGACAGACCAAACTCCCCATTACAAATAGATGAAATATTATTGTACATCACCACATTTCATGTGGTAAAATAATATTACATTATGAACTACATTGTTCATGGTTTCATACAGAGTTTAACAAATGACTCATTTACATGAATCAAAGAAAAAGTGGTGACCTACACTGGGACCAATTGTTTTCTCCGTTGTCATCTTTTTGTGGTTTTTCCGTGATGTTCTATTGTCTCTCTCACTCGTTTCCTCCTCCTACTCTAGCTCCTCTCCGACCCTCAACTCCTGTCCGATTAGTACCTCCTGTCACTCTCTCCTCCGGACGCCGGAGGGTGTCGAGATTACCTCGTGTCCCTCTAAATACTGACCGCTGACCATTTCTCCTTCACAATAACAAATAGAGAGTGGTCCGAGGCGTGTCTCGGTAGAGCAGGACGGTACTCCCTAAAACCGCCATCCCAGTCGAAATCAGCCGGTGATTTACAGTGGCCAAAAATGTCCCCCAGTCCTCCGATGCGGGTCACCCACGCGCGGAGGTGGGTGCGTCACCTGGACGGCGACCACGAGCTCCGGGAGACCAGTGTCTTGGTAAACTCGGAGACCTCGATAGTAGGAACTTTCGTACAGCACCTTCTGTCGCAACGATGAACGGAATTACAGTCGGTTTTCTCACAGGCTCAGTTGCAAAATAGTCACGGTGGGCTCAACAAATTACTAGGCCCCACTAGTCTCGGCCCCGCTGTGGTCTGCTTGGGGGAGGAAAACGACGGGTTCTCGCATTCCTGCACGCAAGTCTCAGCTCCCGATAAGTCAACCCTCCGATATTAGAATGTGGGGTATCAGCCCCAACTCCCTCGAATTTAACGTGAGGAGACGTATACGATTGTGGTAATACGACGCAAGTGTGGCCTGCGCTAACGCTTATAAGCGAAGCGAGATTAGCGAGCGATAGCCGTAGCGAGATTAGCGAGCTCAAAGTGGTACGACGGTCGCACACAAATTGAGCGGAGTAAGTTGTTCTGTGCGACCGAGCCCCTTGATTGACGTTGTTTTACTTGTATAAAATTGGCACTAATTAACATTTACTGTCCACAAGATTTACTACGGCCTGCAATTGTTAGAGACTATGGCCAATATTTTTGGCTACTTAATTACGACTGTATTCAGACGTTGTTCCTTCCGTCCGCTTTTTGGTAGAGGTTTTTACAAAAGACTTAACCTCTAACCCAGCTGGTCCGATTCGATTGCAACATATACGAGTGAGGTGTTGCCGGATGTCTGTATTTATTTGTCGCGGACATAAGCGCGTACTGTGTCTGTCAGACACCCAAACATGGAACAAATTGAAACTTGTCTAACTCCCTCGACACTCGAGACACACGATTGACGATGTCGATTACAGAGACTACAAAGACCAAACTCGGCGCTGCAGTCACTACCGGTCCGACTCTAGGAGTGGCGACTAACCGAGGCGCTTTGCGAAGTGACACTTTAAACTTTGCCCCGAGCCAACTTTTTAACCTTGAGAGCGCAAACTGCGCCGTGTGAAGTTAGCGCACTAAGCGCGCGTAGGTGGCGAAGTACAGCGGCAGCCTCGCTAAGCCGCAGACAGGCGCGTACAAATGTACATTAGCGCGGCGCGGGGTTTGTAGCGTAGCGCAGCAGGCCACGTCTGCGTCGTATTCTGTGTGCTATGTCAGACAAACAAACGGAAGTCCCCAGCCCCTGACCTTTTCGAGACAGTTTCTTTGGCGGACCCGTCCGACCGAGACGTTCACGTAACGTGTCGGATGCCTGGTCCGCTCCTCTCCGGACGGGGTCCCCGCCAGGCACGCGTGAGATGTACCCGACACCGACACAGTTGGTGCGGAATAAATTACCGTTAGACTCACACCTCCTGTATACGGCGCCCGGTAGAACCAAGTGCGGTCCGGGGAAGTTATTATAAAAATAGAGAACCACACATGCGCTATTCCCATCGTGTACGTGGCCCGTCTCACTCCACGTTAAATCGGAGGGAGTGGGGTGATACCCACATGTCTAATTTTCGGGGGGTTGACTTTCGGGAGCTGGACTTGCGTGAGGAAGCGAGAACCGTGTTTTCCTCCCCAAGCCCAGGACTCACAGTGGGGCGAGACTAGTAGGCCTTAGTAGCTACACAACTTGAAGGGTTAATTTCGTTCTATATTGGCTGGCCCATCTACAAAAACCCTTTCGGTTCCGTCGTTGCATATCCTTCAAGCGGCGACTCGAAGTCAGACGTTACAAGTTGTGTTGTCTATTTCGGTCTTTAGATCCGACGTCAGTACCTGAGGACGAACTCAAAGTTGTCGTGTAATTTTGTCAATGATTAGTCGACCGATAGTGGATTTCTTCGTATAATCCTATTTTCTGATTACAGTGTCGTCCTAAACCTTTTTAACAGGTACGAAATAGAAGTCATCTGGCCTGACGGACATTACCACAGAAGAGTGTCCAGAGTGATTTTTTGATAATCTTTCGACGTCGACTAAGTCTTGCGGCGACGAGCTCAGGAGTGATGGTGATTCTTTCACCTAGTGTAGTGAGGACAAAACTTCAGAAGATGTGACCGAAGGACACACAGTTTCTTATCTAAAGTTTTATGACGACGCAAATATTTCGTCGCTTAACCAAATCCGGGTTT